AACTGCCGGTAGTTTTTTATGTTGAAATTTCTAAAATTCGAGTGTTGGCTGATTTCCAAATCACTGCAGCCGGTTCTCGCTCCCCAATGTTGTGGTAGCGCATAGCATAACTGTGATACACGTCTTGCTTCTTTTCCCACCTGGGCATTTCTATCCTTTTACACAAAGCCTTTATCCGAGGTCGTTTTGAATAGCAAATCAGTTTCATGTGAATGTAAAACGTCTTGAGCTGTGTAGCGGGAACATATTTCGGGCAATTTTTCTGCCTACTCGGATGCAGCACACATATCTGAGTCACCGCTTTCGCCCGATTGCTTACCAAACACAAGATCGTCTACTGGTGAAAGCCTGTATCCAACTGTTTGACGATGTAAAGTCTGTACTTTGCAATTCTTTTGCGAAGTGTAATGCTCGTTCTTGAATCACGTGTCCAGATAATGGGATATTCCCCTCAGTGCTGACTGGCACTACTTCCAGCAAAGTGCGTTCATGTCTTTGTTACCCATTTTTCTATTATTCTTTCTTTTCAGTCTTGGTGTGTGGTTCACAAAGTCATTCAAAAACGGCTTTCCTCTTTTGTTATACGGATTTGTGTTCTTCCTACTCGGAAATTTTGCGCCAATGTTAGCGAACTGTTCCTTCTTAACATTGTCGAATCACTGATACCATTTTCTTAAGTGTGAATGCCTTTGGCTTTGCTGAAATGGAACTAACCATTTTGTCCTTCGTAAGAACGCTCAAAAAGAAGTATAAAAACAAACATGAATATTCAGTAAGGATGTACGTCAGCAGTAGCTGCTGTTTTGGCAATCGATTGGTTACACAGTAAACAAATAGACACAGAAAGTGATAGCCACAGTACTTGCGACTGTACAACTGTATCACAAATCCCAGAGTGCGCGAGGGGAGCACCACTGCTCTTTATTGTGCAACGGCTCTATCAGATTTGTTCAGTGCACAGCCCATAGCAGCATACATGGATCAGTTACATTGGGTGATGGGAGTGATGCGTCACTAGACAATTCTGGTGTGGCTTCTCCATGTTGTAGATTGTCCACCGCGCCTGTCCAGCAACCGCGAAGAAAGCGCGACACGGAGGACGATGACCGGGCATACGCAGTACGTGTCCAAGACACCGCAGCTGAAGCAGTGGGACGAGCTCCTCCAGCGAATGGCTGTCTCCACCCAAGCCACGCTGTCTAACTTCTACATTGGTTACGTGGTGCAGCGGCAACACACGGGCAATGGACCGCAAGCAACGGTGCTCAAAGGCAGAGAGACGGCGCAGGTCAACGATACGAACAGGCCAAGTCTCGGACCCGTACAACAGTACAGCGCGGACAGTCGCACAATAAACCCGTCCTTTGATGGATATACCGATGTCATGCCGGCGCCACAAGTGCTTCAGCCTAAAGAAAGCAAGGCGAACTCTTGAGATACGTAACGAAATCTGGTCTCCATTGGCTGTGATGCAACTACCCAGGTAGGCAAAACTCTCCGTCACCTCCAGTGTCTCATCACCAAGAGTGAGTGCAAGTAGAGACATCTGAAAGTCTTGGAAAAGAGCTTTGCACTTGGACGGGGAAAAGTCATCCCATATTTTGACGCCTTAATCGCCAAATGGTTGAGTGCAAGTTGGACGGCCTGTGGACCGTCACCCAACAAGACGATACCATCAGCGTAGTCCAAGTCAACAGCTCTGCTAACTGCGAGGAGCTCAACGCCAGCGCGTTTAACGAATTATGCAGAGCATTCTTTAAGACTTCCTCAATGGCAAGGTCATTAAGATATTTGCACCTACATTGTCCCGGAATATCCCGGATGAAAGCCTCAGCCGGAAGTTACGTATATTGGCCTTCTTTTAGGGACAACGCTATCCATGATTGTATCGCCACATGTAGCAAATGTGCATCAGCAGCGAAACTTCCAAGCAAATTCATCCAACCCTGGATGCCAGCCTCTAAGCCATGGGAGAAAATTCACCTTGATTTCCCTGGTCCCGTTCAAGGCGTTTTCTGAATTGTGATTGATGCGTATACAAAGTGGCCGGACGTATACCTGATGAACACAACTACGACAGCGGCCACGGTACGACAATTACAACAGTCATTTGCACAGTTCGGTTCACCAAACACCTTGGTTTCCGATAACGGTCCGCAATTTATCTCCGACGATGGTGTTTTTTGCCAGTGTAATTGTATCAAGCACTGCCGGTCGCATCCGGGGCATCCCCAGCCCAACGGGTAAGCAGAAAGATTCGTGGATACCATCAAACGTTTACTTCTAAAGCTGCGGGGGAAGGACCCACAGAGATCATACAGCTGTTCGTGTTAAGTAATCTGGGCCACGCAAAACCCCGATCTACCAGGCGGCAGATCTCCAGGTGAAGCCATGTTCGGGCGTGAGACACGTCCTCCAATTGATGCAGTACTCCCTAAGGTTACGTAACGGCTACTGGCGTCAGGCATGAACAGACGTTTTCTACGGGGGGAGCCGGTGTACGCGTTGGATGCATGGCTGAACCACCAAACCTGGTAACATGCAGTAGCACGATAAAGAAAATGCTCTGTGCTGTACGTGGTGTCTGTCGGAACGTTGTCTGTCATACGGCACGTTTATCAGCGTCACAAACGGCGGATCGAACAAACAATCAGTTCTACTGTCGAGTTGCCGTTTGATATATCGCTGGACACGATGAACTACCAAAAATTGTAGGGCGTATTGAACCGACAGAGACGTGCGCAGAGCCATGCGACGGAGTCACTGGGAGAACTATGCGGCCTACTAAACCTATGTAACGTTTACAGGTGAACCCAGCGCTTCATTCGTATGGGTCTGGAGAATGTATTTTCAAAGAGGGAGATGTTACAATAGGCAATTTGGTGCCTCAAAAGTACAATGTCGTCCCACATACCTGACCGTGAACTTCACTATCACCCAATGGTCCAGTGTGGTTCATATCCATCAAGCCGCCTCCAGTCCGAAACACTCACACCGTAACCTTTGTAGTCGGCATTCGAGACCGCGAAAAACCGTCATCCGGTACAAGTAGTGACACAAATGCTTGAAACCAGTGCTGATTTTTGCAACAAGCAGAATGATTTCAATAGGTATGCTTCTGCTGCAGCTGATGAAACCACCAATATAGGCAAATGGATTAAATAACTCTCCACATGGGGCTATGAAGTGACCAGAGATGGCGCAACAGTGGTTTGCAATTTGAAAGAACGAGATGCACAAAAATTAAACAGCCTCCAGAATGGTTTAGAAACAGTGCCCGGTTGACCATGGCCTATTTCGAAGGCTAGACACGAAAAATGGAATCAAAACACGCGGCATTTTCGTGCTAAGGATAACGGAGAATAAGTCCCGAGAGCGCAGAAACAACCCGGGTAACGAGCGCATCTTGATGCATCGAACAGTAGATCTGAGCCAGAGTTTCCAACAAGCGATTCGCCCAGGCATGTTGGGGCTCGCCTCATGGCGACATTGGCAAGGCAGTAAATAATTAGCACAATGTTGCAGTAAACACATGAAACCAATCAGAGCAAAAGCCTGTTTGTCTAAAACCCGTCAACACCAATAGTTGCTTAGGGCGCATTATCTAAAATAAGCGTTTAGCGTAGTAGTGACTTACCACTCAGGGTTAATCCGGAGAGGCATGAGCTAACATATGTTAAGTTCTATAGAAGGGAAGCACAATTCTCGGGATTAGGGTAAGACTAAGAGGATTTAAGACCAACGCATGTCTAGTACTTAGTAGCACAGTAATATCAAGCATGTAAACAACCTCAAAACACTTCAAACGAGGGCTACCATGTATAGAAGTGACGAAGTAAAGCCCTCCCCCCCAAGGTAATACTAAGAACAATAGTTTGTTAATGGGGCACTCTCAAGATTGCACTTCAAGACCGGTTGCCACGAACAGACCACAGCGTTCAAAGCGCAAACAAGTAGCGCCAACCCGAGGAAGTAGAAGAGCACCAAGCCCTATTCACTGAAGAAACAAAGAGGTGACAATGGCTTTGCAAGCCAAAATTAATGTTATCCTCAATGAGGCAATCATTGACGAGTGTCTAACGAAGTGCGTCAATTGTTACTACGCATCAGTTTTCAACATATTTGGATTTGCCTGGCAAGAGCTATCGTTACATCCAACTCCTCGCTGATGATGTCCCCTCGAATAGTGACGAAACATTTGCAACCAAATTGCCAAGCTCAGCGAACAACTGAGCCACGTAATCGGCAACCAAAGTTAACAGTATTCCAAACCATTTAGAATACATAAGTCCTTGCGATGCACACTGATAAAGTAAGTATTTAAGACTTGATATGAATATCAAGAAAGAGAACAAGAACGGCTTTGAATGGCTAGTGTGATACACAAATTCTAACCATTAGAGCTCAGCCTGCACGATATGTGGTTTGAACTGATATGCGTACGAGGAGGATGTATAAGTGCTCAATACCAATGATAGCGGTGGTTAATGAAAGGCAATTATCATGCACACAGCAGCATGGAGGAACTCGTGCTTAATTGTGGCTATTTGAAACGTCCTCCCGAATTATGGACTGTTTGTCAAGCTGAATGCAAAGTACAGATATAGTGGGGATGTGTGCGGTGATTGACGAGACAGGTTTCAATCGACAGAACACAACAATTCCGATCAAATTATACCGGTGCGCTGGATGATGGAAAGCCGAAGCTTTTTGGGTCTCACGGGGAAGTAAACTTTGCACTAGATGGAAGTGAAATTTATTGTGGCACTCGAAAGCGCTGTGTGACAAACACCAGTCTCAAAGCACTTTAGTTATGAGGACGGCAATGCGGCTTGAGAAAAGATGACAAATAATTTCGGGTGTTGGGATGGGCTCATGCGGCTGCCTGGGATACTAATCGGTCACGTAAGAGTCGCCAAATATGGGACAGTACAGAAGTTCGAGGCAACTAAACCCAAGGTATATTGTGCAGGCTGCAAAAGTAGGAAGTGAATCAATAAGGGCGAGGAATGGTGTAGCACGAGACTAAACAAAGCAGTTTGTGAAAACGGAACTCCCGTTAGTAAAACAAGTAGACGTTTTGTAGGTTAAAACAACGGTAAAATCCAATGTTGCAAAATACTGAAAGACTGCGTTTTCAGGTACACTGTACTAACGATACGAAGCCTAAGCTAAGTTCGTCGTGCAAAAACTAAACCAGAAACTGCGAACAAATAAACCTAGACTTAACGCACGGTCTGGGCAGAAGAATAAAACGAATTATCCCGTAACCGTGGTTCTATAAGGCATAATAAATACAGTACATGACTTACGAATAAGTTTTGCAATCGTAATGCAAGTGGGCAGAAACTGTACAGCGTGGGGCGGAGCGAGTATTTGGGCAGTGTCACAGTAACATAATAATATGAATGACCTTGAAACGTCAAGGATGTGTCAGTGATCGAGTGAAAGGAATAAATATACGATATGTTAACCGCTTGTAGGACACAGTAAAGCAATGTAAATGAGCAAGGTAATTATGGAATAGAGATACCGTGTTCTCTTGTAAGCAATCCAGGTTGGGGATACATCAAAGTTCCTTTTGGACTTTACATACACGACGGAAGCGAAGTGGTGAATGCAATTCAAGGTGAAGCGAAATAGTTGAAGTCACTGTTAAAGAGGTATCAAACGGTGAAATAATATTGGTAACCGAAGAAAAACGAAATATGGGAAAAGTATTCCACCAGGAACACATAAATTGGCACGAGGAGGAAGGTACAATAAACTTAAGAAAATAGAATTGATAACATGGTTGATGCAGTAGTCGTCACAAACGTAAACAAGCCAGCCGCGGCGCGAAACGGATGAGCACAGTCGAATGCATTAACACATAGGAGGACCCTCCACTGGTTCAATAGCAGGAAAACAACTACTGAACATGCGTTTCAAAGTTCACTGATTCTCCCAGCATTATACGAAGTAAGAGCAATAAAAAATTAGTGGATCAGCAACGGTGATTTCAGGATAACACATCAAGGAACGTTGGGTAGCCAAAAAAGTAGCGGCCAAGGGATGGAAATCACGATATAGTATTCCAAAGAGCCCAAAACAAATCCGGCAATCACGTCAGATAAGTGATGTCGCTTCATTGTGTATCGAGAGAGACAAACAGCAATCGTCCAACTTAGCAATAAGAGGAACATCCAACTGTTGAAGTGGAACATCCTTGGAAGTAGCCAGAACAAAAGCGCCGAGCGGCTTGCGTGACCTAGAAAGTGAAGACACATTAGATAGCACAAATTGACGTCGGGTAATAAACAAACACCAATAAAATAAAGCAATGCAGAAGTGCGCCACAAGGAAGCAGGGAAGAAAGAAGATATGGCGGCCAACACTAGATTGGCGATACTCCCCTTGAGTAACAATCTCACATGTCGTATGATTGCTATAGGAGCCGCGTATAACAGTTCGGCTGGTGGTGACATTTGAAAAGGTCCGTTCCTGTCGTGTGTACAACTGCTTTGCATCGGCTTCTCCTGTCAACCGGGCATATGATCGCACAAAAAGGGGAAGTAAATAAGCCCTTAGGGGTGACGGACGTCCATTATTAATGGAAACAGTATTATTTTGCTACAGACCGCGACTTTTACGATGTATCAGAAAAATGGCATTTTTGGTTAGCGTTCACTACTGAAACACTCCTGTGTTAAAGACTTGACAAGTCCGCGGCTAACTCGGGCACCAATTTCCTAAGTATTTATTCCGACAACAGGTCGCTTTGAGTTGTCATACGGTGCCTCAGTGGCACGAGCTTGGAAATGGAGGACAAGCAGCACGGCCCATGCGAGTTAACGAGGGTGCATTGCAACGTGAAAACGTGGTCACTAACCTCAGATAACTGGTTTCTCAGTTTGTTAAAGGTGATGCGGAATACTCATGATAACGTGTGGAAAAACGACAAAATACATCATGCTTGATTTGGTGTGCTTCGATAAGTTCGAGAATAAACTGTTTATTTATTTAGTTACATGTGTTTAAATGAGGTCTCATGATCCCTAATAGGCCACTGAATAATTACCGTGCAAAAGAAACAACCTGGAGGTTTCAAGCAATTTCATGGCGGCGCACTAATAGTCTAGGAGCTTATTAACGGTGTTCACCTATAACGCTTTGAGAAATTCATGATAATGATCATCCAAAAAGACTCCTTATGGTCCGTCAGAGACATACCAGCCCTAAATGCCGACGGTTAAGAAAAAGTAGTTGTACATTCTTTGGAAGCTGTTATCAAGAATGGGTAAAATCCGGTGGCGTTCTCGCATAATGTTAAAACGCAATAATCTCAGACTCAATTGAGAATAAAGGGTATCAACGAAGTTCTGTAGCAAGCAAGTAATCAAAAACGACATCCTGCACCCCGGGCCCGGATGCAGCGCAGGCTATGGATAGAAAAGTACAGGTGGATCTACATCATAGTATAGTCATCACTTGTACCTTTGATGATATGAATCACAAGAAATCGCTTACTCCTGTCCACCTCTTTCCCCGTGACCACATTGTGAACTATTGATAGCGTTCATAGCAGATGGTCAGCTTGCGGTAGTACTAGTAAGTGCTTGATGCATCCGAAACCAAATACACATCGCGAACTAGTCTCAGTCTACCCAAACAGCACTTTAGAATGAACCCGGCAATACCTTACATTGCACCGGATATTGTGCTCCCTTAGTATTCTGCCGTCATTCCTGTAGGAGGCTACAATGATGTGCCTAACGCTTATGACCATGCAATTTCGACAGCCCATCCACCTTCTGGATGGTTGGTGCCAAATGAAGATATCCAACTGTCATCAATGAACAATGATTTATCACGGGTAAAGAATCAGGTGTTTGACAACTCCAGTAGGGTGGTTGGAGTGAAACAAAGAGATCAAATGATAAGCAAATCGGTGGTTTAAGCGACTACAGATTTAGGTGCGCTGCTGCATTACGACAGTTTGAAATGCGAAATGAATGTGTGCACACAAAGCAATATGAGAAGCGGTTATAGTTCATGTAATACATGAGAAAAAAATGAAGAGTGAAAATGGCAACGCTCACTGGTGTGCAGCCTTCTTGGACCGATGGAATACGTAAATCCAGTTCCCACAGTAGCGGTGTTTAATAAATGATTTGCAGAAAGTGAAAGTGAGTCCGTTGATTTGTAATGTCAGGTTGACGCCCTGACATAAAGAGTTACATAGGGTAAGGTAGACGCATGAGTGTATTATCGAGATGTTTTTTGAATACCGTTAGTGTTGGGGAAGAAACAACGTAAATGAGGAGGGAGTTCCATGGTTGGCGTTGTTCCAACCTGCTATAATGTGTGGCCAGCTTTAGCTGGTGACCGCTCAGGGTGGGAATGTGATTCAGCTTCAGAAGGTGACCATGAACATGGTTTGAATTCCTCAGGATTGAATATATAGTTATCAAATCGCCACACATGCGTCCATATTGTCCACTGTAGGCCCCAAGGGTTTTCAACCTCAGTTGGTAAAGGAGATGAAACAGACCCTTTACGTTCTTGGTCGCCCTTCATCGTCACATAACATGTGCAGTGAGGTCGTGCTTGTGACAGGGCTGTCAGGCGTGAATGCCGTATTCCAAATGGGGCCTAATGTAGGCAATCAGCATCTGAAAGAAGATTGAAGGGTCAAAGTGCTCGAACGCTTTTCGCAAGAAGCCAAGGTGTTTGTTGGCGTTTTTAGACGCGTTCTCGGCCTAGCGTGTACAGCTAAGACCCTCTAGACTACATTCAGTAGAAGCGCGATGCAAAGCTTGATATCCCAGCCTGTACTCGAAAGGGGATTGACGGCGTATGCTTAATGTCTTACATATGGTGGCGTGGAAATGAAGCAGTTTCTGAGTCGCTCATTCGTATACCTCATCAAGGTCGTCCTGGGGCGCCACGTCGTCACTTGTTGGTTTGATGGTCCGCCATATCTTGGAGTCATAAGCGAAGAGTAAGAAATTGGAAGTGAGCACCCACGCGACAACGTTTATGTAAATTAGGAATAGGAGTGGACCGAGTACTGAGCCCCATGACACTCCGTACTGAACATCGACAGGGTCAGAGATGGAGCAGCGAATTCTCACATTCAAATGTCGTTGAATCCGAAAGTTGTCTATCCAAAAAAGAATTGATCTACTCATTCCACAAATCTGAAGCTAGTGAATGATGATGCGAGGTTTCAGACGGTCGTACGCCATTGAGAAGTCCAGACAGACTGCGTCAACTCCCACACCATTGTCGACGACTTCAGTCCAACTGGAGCGAGCAAGCAGCAGGTTTGTGGTGCAAGACCGGTTCTGGAGGAATCCATGCTGTTCGGGTGCTGTGATTTTGCATCATTCCAAGTAATTCAGGAGCGCTTCGGTAACAATTAACTCCATGAGTCTGGATAGCACCAGAAGGGGTGTTATCGGGCGACATTTGGCTATATCTGCACGATGGGAGTGACAATTCCGTGCTTCCATAGTGTGGAAACACACATCTCGTCGAGACATCGTTAAAAGAACCTAGAGATTGGATCCGTCAAGTTCAATACAGCCAACATCAGTGCAGTTGGTCGGGAATTATCAGCACCAGGAGAGGTGTGCTCGGGCAGAGAATTCGGCCTTTTCAGAACATCTGTAGGCCCAAAGGAGATATGGCGAAGTCCTGGTGATGGTATAACATGCATGAACAGCATAGCCGACGAAGTCGTGTACTGGAAATATGGGGGCAATCGCTCACATGTCATCACCATCATTATACACGTTCGCTAGAGGTGGGAAACACCTCAGCTACTGTGCCGTAATACACAGAAAAAAGGAAAAATCCAACAGGTGCAAGCTAACTGAGCTAGCGGTAACGGATGGGCATCGTTCCGGTAAGCTACCAGCCGGCTACTGTGCATCAAAACAAAATTACTATGCAAAATTATATAAGGTTAAATAATGAGATCGTGGTTGGAGGTGGAGGCTGAGAGATGGGGTGGGACAAAGAAACTCACAGCAAGAACGCCATTGAGGTCGGCTCCTAACCATGTCAGCAAGTGTTTCCAGCCAAACGTGTTCATCGTCTTTCGGTCCCCAACCAGGGAGCCGAGACGCTCCAACTGAGGCCAGCTCAGAAGTGAGGGCTCTCATTTGTCTCAAGCAAGTCATCGTTTGGCCTCCTCTCCTTTATCTCCATCCACACTCGCAGCGTGCAAGCAACGCATGTCGTGGAAGTCGGTGGGCTGGCATGCGTAACACGCGGCCGAGCCACTGGAGCCTGGTGCGTGAAATGACGGTGCTGAGCGGTTCATTTCCTTTTCATGTGCCGTAAACAAGGCGTCGAACACGCTCGTTTCTTATTCGGTGTTCCCACCAGATGTAAGCCAAACTGCGAAGGCACGTGTGGTCGAAGGTAACTAGCCTCCTTATATCCGATGACCTAAGGGGCCAGGTTTCACAACCGTACAGTAGGGTCGAACATACCGCTGCACTGTACACTCTACCCTTCAGGGGGAGAGTGACGTCAAGCCGGCCCCTTAGGTTGCGATTAGCAAAAGCGCCACCAGCTTTTGCTATACGGCTCCTGATCTCACCTTCAATCCACGGGCGTTGATACAACTTCCCAGTTAGTTGAATTTTGGAAGGACTTCTAGCTTATCCCCAACAAGAGTCAGCGTAGGAGCCATTCCAGGCCAATCTTAGAGGAATGCTTTGCATTTCGAGGGTGCGAAGCAAAGCCCGAGGTGAGGGACAGCCAAAGCTAATCTGTCCAGTGCCGCTTGGCACGTTTCTGCGAGCTGTCACAGATTAGGGCAATTTCGTCAGCATAATTCAAGTCAAGAAGTCGTTCTCCTGGGAGCAGATCCACACCTTCTAAGTCGTGTTTTGTGAACGCGATTTCCATGACTTCGTCAATAGCGAAGTTGAAGAGGAAAGGTGACAGCGGGCATCTTTGTCTCACACGGCCGGAGATATTAAAGGGCGACGACAGCTGGCTGTAAGCCCTCCCTCTGCCTGAGCTATGCGCGTATAATGCTTGGATAGCATTTACATGTTTCTCAGGTACATTTTTCCAGGCTAGACAGTCCCAAAGTGCATGTTTATCCACCGAATCGAATCCACCTTTGAGATCGAGGAACACGACACCGGTGGGCCGCCAATATACGTGACGGTGCTCCAACAAGTGACACAAAGTGAAGATGTGATCAGTGCAGCCACAACCTCGACGAAACCCAGCTTGTTCTTCATG